ATGGCACCCCCCCCCCCCGGGCCCCCTCCATCTGTAGCCTGGTTCTATCTGTAGTTCTGGGTCCTTGGGGTCCTAAATTTTAAAGAACTTAATAACAAAAACTGATTTTAACATCATCAACCACCGAAGCATCTGACTTTTATTAGAGTGGTATGGCACCTATGAGGAGCTGCGGTGGCTCAAGTGGTTAAGACGCTGAACTGCAGGCTGTGGAAGGTCAGTAGTTCAGCAGTTCGAGACCCGAGTTACCGCATGACGGGGCGAGCCGCATGACGGAGTGAGCTCCCGTCTCTAGTTCCAGCTCCTGCCAACCTAGCAGTTCGAAAGCAAGACATTGCAAGTAGAAAGCAAGACATTGCAAGGAGATAAATAGGTACCACTTCGGTGGGAAGGTAACAGCGTTCCGTGCGCCTTGGTGTTTAGTCAGGCCGGCCACATGACCACGGAAACGTCTTCGGACAGCGCTGGCTCTTCGGCTTTGAAACGGAGATGAGCACCGCAACCCTAGAGTCGGACTCGACTGGCTTTCGAGCAAGGGAATCCTTTACCTTTATGGCAGCTATGACTTATGTGTTGTTATGTTATGTATTTTACATTGTGTTTTAAAATGGTTTTAATTGCATTGCACGTTTAACTGTTGGGCCCCGCCCTGAGCCTGCCAAGGGGAGGGCGGGATACAAATCCAATAAATAAATAAATAAATAAATAAAGCACATGGCAGAACAGTTGGTACGATGAAGCGATCGCACCGCCTGGTCCAAAATTCAAGTGGGTCCGAAGGCAAAAACAGCCATATTTTAAAGAGCCAGAAAAAGGGACTTACGGAGTAGCGCGTCCTCGTAAACTTCTCGGATGACCTCGGCCAGGCCAGAGTTGTTCTTCTCGAGAGCATCGATCAGCTGCGTCACCCAACCGCTCCTGCCCCACAAGTGGTCGAAGAATTCGCTCACAGACGAAACGTTCCCACGCCTGTCCGTGTGACACCTGATCTCTTGCTACGGAAATGAGGGCCAGGCAAACACAAGTTGAGAAACCAACAGGGCGGGTGTGTGTGTGTGTGTGCACAAAAAGAGAAGAGATTGGATTTATACCCCGCCCTTCACTCGGAGTCTCAGAGCGGCTGACAAACTCCTTTCCCTTCCCCTCCGCACAACAGACACCTTTTGCGGTCGGTGGGGCTGAGAGAGCTCTGAGAGAACTGTCCTTTCAAGGACAGCTCTGTGCTGATTCCTAGGTGTTCTGATAGCCCAGACTACCCCCATTCTCATCAGAGCTTGGAAGCTAAACAGGGCTGGTGCTTGGATAGGAAACCACCAGGGAGCCTGGGGTGGAGGAGGACGAGGAGAAGAAGAGATTGGATTTATACCCTGCCCTTCGCTACCCAAGGGAGTCTCAGAGCAGCTTACAATCTCCTTTCCCTTCCCCGCCCCACAAGGGACACCCTGTAAGGTAGGTGGGGCTGAGAGAGCTCTTTCAAGAACTGCTCTTCCAAGAACAGCCCTGACAGAACTATGGCTTGCCCAAGGTCATCCAGCAGCTGCAAGTGGAGGAGTGGGGAATCAAACCCGGTTCTCCCAGATTAGAGTCTGCACACTTAACCACTGCACCAAACTGTGGAAGAGACCGGATTTATACCCCACCCTTCAGAGCGGTTTACAATCTCCCTTCCCCTCCCCACAACAGACATCCTGTGAAATAGATGGGGCTGAGAGAGTTCTTTGGAGAACTGCTCTTGAGAGAACAGCTCTGAAAGAACTTGTAACTGACCCAAGGTCACACCACAGCAGCTGCATGTGGAGGAGTGGAGCATCAGACCCGGGTCTCCCAGATTAGAGTCCGCGCTCCTAACCACTGCACCAAACTGGCTCTAAGCAGAATCATTTAAGAAGGTGGTGACTCCACCCTTCTAGGCCTGTTGACTTCAGTGGATTTTGAATGCTCTAACTCTGCTTAGGTTTATGCTGTGAGGGTGGTAGAGATAGAGAAATGAGGGTCACAGAGAAGAACTTACTGGGGAGATAAGGCAAGAAATATACAAAGGGGTGAATACAGAGGGAGATTTGAAGAAAGGGCTACGACTGTGTGCCATGGATGTGTACAAAAGGAACGTTAGTTTTGATAATTCAAAAAGGAACACCACATATCCTGAACAGGAGTCAACGCTGGCGTTTGCCCAGAAACTAGTCAGCATTCACTATGAGACTATTTGCTGCTGATTGGAATACAAAACCTGACCACCTGCATTTTTCTGTTGATTTAGGCCTCCCTAATGTGACAGTGAAGATGGAAATAGAAGATGATGATCCATGGATACCAAATCACCAGGGCCCGGCCTTCCCTGGTGCTCACTCAGGTGTGATAATGGGCTGAGAGAATGGGCGTGCAGAGAATTTATTCATTACTGTGATGTCGAATGGTTTGCCTTGGATTCGGACCGAGATCATTCTGCCGTTTTTGAGACTGTACCCCATGACTGCCTTTCCCACTCTCTTGTTGACTATAAAGGCCACACCATTTTCTCTACGGGATTCTTGGCCACAGTAGTAGATATTATGGTCTTCTGAGTTAAATTTGCCCATTCCTGTCCACTTTAGTTCACTGATTCCCAAGATGTCGATGTTCAGTCTTGCCATCTCATTTTTGACCACGTCAAGCTTACCTTGATTCACAGATCTTATATTCCAGGTTCCTATGCAGCACTGATGGCACCTGGTACTTCTGGCCACTGTGTGACACAGGGTGTTGGACTGGATGGGCCTTTGGCCTGATCCAACACTGGCGTCTCTTATGTTCTTATATGTTTATTGTTCTTGGCAGCATTGGACTTTCCTTTCACCATCAGACACATCCACAGCTGAACGTCCTTTCGGCTTTGGCCCAGCCGCTTCACTCTTTCTGGGGTTACTCTGCTCTTCCTCGGTAACATATTGGACACCTTCCGACCTGAGGGGCTCATCTTCCGGCGTCATATCTTTTAGCCTTTCGATACTGTCCATGGGGTTTTCTTGGCAAAGATACTGGAGTGGGTTGCCATTTCCTTCTCCAGGGGATCACGCTTGGTCTGAGTTCTCCGCAGTGGCCTGTGCCTGTCCCTCCTGGGTGGTCCTCCACGGCATAGCCCACAGCCTCATCGAACCACGCAAGCCCCCTCGCCACGTCAAGGCAGTGATCATGAGGTTCAGATCCACAGCCCACGCACCACTTCTGGTGCAACCTCGGCAGATGCCGCCCCCCCCCCCCCCCCCCCCACTCCATTGCCGAGCCTCGCTTTCAGACGCACACCTCGGTCGCCCCCCCCCGCCCCAAATATCACGGCATCAGTAAGGAAGGAACGGGTTCTAGAAAGTTACCCTGTCTGCCGAAGTGAGGCACGGTAGAAAATCCAGCAGCTGGTTCAAAGGTACGTCGTGGAACAGATGATAGTTCTGCTGAATGAATTTCTTCACCTTGTCCTCGGCGAACCCCATCTTTGCTTAGTGGCTAGGGGAGAGAAAAGTGGGAAGAAAGCACAAGTTAGTATTTCCCATCAATATTGGCGGTCACATTCGCAAGACCCAGGAACACAGATGGTCCACCAGCATCTAAGCCAGGAGAGGCAGACGGATTCCAAGAAGAGCAAGGCCGTTCTGTACTGCAGCGTTTCCCCACCTCTGGGTCGGAACCAGTGTTCCCTCTAAGCTGAGTCAGTGTGAGCCAGCTCGCAGTTTCTTAGCCTCCGGCTCACACAGTTTTGTCCCCGCTCAGGAAGGAGGGCTCCAGAGCAAACTAATTTATGCAGCAGCCAAATCGCTCGCTCGTATCTTTAATGCCAGTAGCACACAAAGCAGAATTTTTGCTCCCAGGACTCCACAGCTTAGACAGAGCATTGGTCGGGACCCCAAAAAGGGTCGCAAGGCCTTCGCAAAGGGGGTCATGAGCAGTGTTCCCTCTAAGCTGAGTTAGTGTGAGCCAGCTCGCAGTTTCTTAGCCTCCGGCTCACACAGTTTTGTCCCCGCTCAGGAAGGGTTCCAGAGCAAACTAATTTATGCAGCAGCCAAATCGCTCGCTCATATCTTTAATGCCAGTAGACGGAGTGAGCTCCCGTCTCTAGTTCCAGCTCCTGCCAACCGAGCAGTTCGAAAGCAAGAAATTGCAAGTAGATAAACAGGTACCGCTTCAGTGGGAAGGTAACAGCGTTCCGTGCGCCTTGGTGTTTAGTCATGCCGGCCACATGACCACGGAAACGTCTTCGAACAGCGCTGGCTCTTCGGCTTTGAAACGGAGATGAGCACCGCAACCCTAGAGTCGGACTCGACTGGCTTTCGAGCAAGGGAGATCTTTACCTTATCGCCTAGCCCTGACCTGGATAGCCCAGGCTAGACTGATCTCATCAGATCTCGGAAGCTAAAAAGGGTCACCCCTAGCTAGCATTTGAATAGCAGACCTCCAAAGAATACCAGCAAGACAGCGACAGGCGATGGCAAGCCATCTCTGAACCTCTCTTGCCTCAAAAACCCTATGGCAGAGGTGTTGAACCCACTTTTTACGAGGGCCGGATCTGACAGAAATGTCACTTTGTCTGGCCGGGCCATACGTGCCGTAAAACGTAATGCCGGGTACCGGAGATAGAAACTGCATAAAGGACAGCAGCTGGTTAGCTCCAACTTGTTGTATCCTCACTGCAAGGTCCTATGGGCTGTGAAGGGGGTGCAAAGGAAAACCCATATGGGCGTACTGGAGAGCCAGCAGTGTGTCAGACTCCTTAGGTCACACCACACAGGGCTTCATAAGAAGATAACTGTTTATTGATGAGTCCAGTACTAAAAAACATGTGTACAGCTTGTGTCAGGAATGGCCGTCAGTACTAGGGCCTCTGACTTATAGTAAAATCAAACATCCCTGTAAGCATGAGCCAATGGATGTATCTTGCGCGCGCGGGCAAAGCAAAAAAGCAGTTAACTTTCCCAGCCAAGTAAACTGCAGCTGGAACATCTACAATATCAAGCATAAGATAGCACACAGTTGATGAGTGAGAGAGAGCTGAGAAGCAAAAGGAGGGCACCCCTCCACATTCCAGATCTATGACAGGGCTACCTGACACAGTGCAGCACCAGGCAGTTGCTCCCACACTGCTTGACTGCTACAGACGAGTCTGTTCCGCCATGCTGAAGCCACAATCGGAGCGGCTCCCCCCACTTCCCCCGAGCAGTCGCCTGTTCCCTCCCATGCACGAGTTGCTCGTGGGCCGCATAACAGCCCTGAATGGGCCACGTCTGGCCCCCGGGCCTTAAGTTTGACACCCTGCCATACGGGGTCACCATAATTCAGCTGTGACTTAGTGGCGGCCACCCCTCCCCAAATGACCCTATTGCCTGGTTAGAATAGCCCTCTCGAATAATTCAGTTTTGCATCATTTGCAAAAAGTCAAGGAGATTGGGAGCCTTCCTGACCTCCTCAGGGAGACAGGGGCAACAGAGAAGGCACTTGTACAGGTAGTTGTTGATTTTTGCCCAGCTGCAGGTTGGCCCCTGGCAGAAGGCCCTGCTCACTAATTAACAGGCACAATCCAGCCTGCGTTTCATACCATTTGAACGTCAATGACAGAGTTACTAGGGCATAAATAATACGTTGACGAAACTGTAAACCATTACAATGCAAGCCCTTACCAATAAGAGGTGAATCACCTTTCCTGTCACTACATGATATAAGATGGGAGCAGTGCTCCCTCTAAGCTGAGTTAGTGTGAGCTAGCTCACAGTATTTTACCCTCCGGCTCACACATTTTTGTCTTCGCTCAGGAAGGACGGCTCCAGAGCAAACTAATTTAAGCAGTAGCCAAATCGCCCGCTCAGAACTTTAATTCCAGTAGCTCACAAAGTAGAATTTTTGCTCACAAGACTCCACAGCTTAGAGGGAACATTGGATGGGAGTACCCATCCTCTACAGAAAACAATACAAATATGTAGATAGTTTACACCAGGGTGTCAAACATGCGGCCCTGGGGCCGGATCAGACCCACCCACCCCGGAGGGCTTCTGTCAGGCCCGCAGTGGAACGGGCTGTCTTCTGCTTCTTCCAGTTCTGCTGCTGCTGCATCATCATAGGTTTGCAGCTTATGGATACACACCTGAACAGCGCACTCAAAAATTGCAACAGCACAGACATTTTGATGCAATAATTCAGAGCAAGAGGTGTCAGTTATCAGACACTGTTAAATAAACAAAATATTGCAAGAGTGGTAATGTTTTAAGCATGTTTTTATTTTAAGTAAACCCTTTGTGTTTGTGTCCTTTATCAAGTTTATATCTCTGCTACCTGGCATTACATTTTATAACACACATGGCCCGGCCCGACAAGGTCTCATTTATGTCAGATGCGGCCCGCATAACAAATAAGTTCGACACCCCTGGTTTACATATTTATGCAAATAAGGTGCATACTGTTTGTAGCTGATGACGGCACAATCACTAACCAATAGGTGCCTGCAACATGTATACAATCACATGACGATTCAGTGAAAAACGGATGTGCAGAGGGTAGCCCCGTATACATCTCCTTGCTGGGGTGGCCAACCTCCAGGCGGGGCCTGGAGAAACCCCCAGAATTCCAGCTGATCTCCAGACCATAGAGAGCAGTGCCCCTGGAGAAAGTGGACTCCATGGCATTATAAGCCACTAAAGTCTCTCCCCACCACAAACCCTGCTCTTCCCAGACACCACCTCCAACTCTCCAGGAATTACCCAACCCAGAGTTGGCAACCCTGCCTACCAATCTGGCATAACAAATACAGCACTGGATTTCAAATAACAAGCACCAGACTAGAAGTGACATCCTATGCAGAGTTATTTCGGTCCAAGCCCTCTGAAATCAACCGATTTGGAACAGGATAACTCTGCACAGGAATTGCATTTTATAAGTTCGGGGGACAATTCTGTGCAGAGCACCACCTCTCAACCTTACCTACCTCTTTGGTGTAGTGGTTAAGTGCGCGGACTCTAATCTGGGAGAACCGGGTTTGATTCCCCACTCCTCCACTTGCGGCTGCTGGTGCGACCTTGGGTCAGTCGCAAGTTCTCTCAGAGTTGCACTCTCAAGATCAGTCCTCGAAAGAACTCTCTCAGCCCCACCTACCTCACAGGGTGTCTGTTGTGGGGAGGGAAAGGCATTTGTAAGCTGCTCTGAGACTCCTTTGGGTAGTGAAGGGCGGGGCATAAATCCAATCTCATCTTCTTCTCCTCAGGGTAGTTGTGAGGAGAAGCCGTAGGGTATAAATATTTTAATTAATAAAATAAAGTGGGACGGATTCACATACACAGTCTTGTGATCCTACGATAATAACCATAGACAGGAGCACGAGTTGAAGGAAGAAGCCAGGATCTCCCGCGATCCACACTGCGCATCTTGTCTGATATTCTGTAATGCTAATTCTCTGCTTATTAGAAACATAGAGTTGGAAGGCACCCCAAGGGTCATCTAGTCCAACTCTCTGCACAATGCAGGGGATTCACAGCTTCCCCCCCATTTCACCGGTGACCCCTGCTCTACCTCACACACTAGTAGAAAGGAGCACCATAAATATAAAGCAAACCAATAAATATATTAGAACAGTTTGAGTTCAGGAAAGCTTATATCCAGGATCAGGGGCGGATTAAGGCTCACCGGTTCCAGAAGCACTGACCAATTTTGGTGCCCCCCCTCCTTTCCACACTGACCCCCAGTCCACGTTAGTTGTTGACCTGTCTGACCAGATATACAATGCAGGTTGCAGCAATACAAAAATGTATTCATAGGATAACACAATATACTATACAAACTAAGCTTTTCACCCTTTCCCCAACTTTGTGTTGCCCCCTTTGGCCCGGGTGCCCTAAGCACGTGCTTCGTCTGCTTCATGGTTAATCCACCCCTGTCCAGGATTAAACTTTGTTGGTCTTAAAGGTGCCACTGGACTCGAATTTTGTTCCGTTGCTTCAGATCAACACGGCTACCCACCTGAATAAGTATATTGATATTGTTCCTATTTCCCCCTGCGTTCTGGACCGACCGTCTGGAAAAGGTGCGCCAGGAAAGCCTTCTCTGGAGCCAGCAGTTCCGGAAAGGCAGAGCCACGCACGCGACGGCTCTCCCGACCGGGAAGCGAAATCAAAACGAAATCTCGTTTTCTTTGCCCAGTCTTTCCCCTAATATGCAGAAGGAACCGACACGTTGCAACGACGACTCGATCTCCTCCGTTAGGAATAGCTCGCTGGATTTAACCGTCTGCTCCAGCAGCTGAGGTTCCTGAACTGAACTTTTCGTGCCCGACCCATCCCCAGCAAGTTTTAATAAGGAAATCGCTTACTTGGTAAATATTCTGAAAGGAAGACAACCCCTCTAACCCCTCCAAACCTCGTTATCTTCGTTCTTAACGACGCTTTAGCCTCACTTTGGGGGCAACGCGGGCCAATCTGCAAGCTCGTGCGGGAAGAGGCCTGGAGCTAATAAATTGATTCTCCCCCCAACCCTTTCCCCTTTTTATTCCAGCACGCTCAAAACCCTAGAGACGACGAAATCGAAAGCATCTCCCTTGCACCCGAGTTGCTGAATCCAGCCAACAACTGCGCCTAATATGGAGCGGGTGATGCAAAGAAAGGGATTCCCCCCCCCCCCCCCCGGCCAGGCGGGGTGAACCAAGGACCGGAATCCAGCCCCTAGACAAGGCTTTTCTGATAAAAGTCTTTTCCCAGCACTTCTCTTTACCTGCTCGCCAAGCGCCCAGAGCGGCAGAAAACCCCGATTACAGGGAAACGCGATTTTTGCAAGGACAAAAGTTGCAAGATCCAGCTGCCCGGGAACCTCCGGCGGCGCGCGCACTCCCGGGGAACGTTCTAATCCCGCCCCTCGCCCCTCGCCGTGCCCGCTTCCCAATGGTCGTTTGTCTTCGACTCGGGGAAATTCGACCAATCCGTTTGGATGGTTGCGTTGCCAATCAACAGACTCGCAGACACAGAGGAAGTGCTGGGTTGTAGAACGCATATTTCTCTCGGCCGAGTTAGCTTCAGGGGGTTTGCCTGGCGAGACTCTTTTTTTTAGCGCGTGACTGGAAGCTTTAGGACAGGGCCCGAGGTCTAATTGGTCTGCAAACAGGGTTGTGCAACCAAGGCTCCCTCTAAGCTGTGGAGTCTTCTGAGCAAAAATTCTACTTTGTGAGCTACTGGCATTAAAGTTGTGAGTGACCTCTTTGGCTACTGCATAAATGAGTCTGCTCTGGAGTCATCCTTCCTGAGCTCAGACAAATATGTGTGAGCCAGAGGCTAGGTCAAGTCAAGTCAAGTTTATTAAAAACAGTTATAAGACCAGCAAAATAAACCAAAATAGCACAACACCGAATCTACAACATAGAATCCTTGCAGCCTTAAGTACTAAAATACCAAACCAGTCAATTCGTCATTAAGAGTTACAGTACATTCTGCGCTTTTTAATTACCAGGTAACAATATTTAGCAACACTGCGTGAGACAGGCTCATAAGTATCAGCCAATAAGAACTGTGAGCTGGCTCACACTAACTCAGCTTAGAGGGAACAGTTTAGCGGGAACTTAGAGGTTGCAACCAAGGCTCCCTCTAAGCTGTGGAGTCTTATGAGCAAAAATTCTACTTTGTGAGCTACTGGCATTACAGTTGTGAGCGAGCCATTTGGTTCCTGCATCAGTTATTTTGCTCTGGAGCCCTCCTTCCTGATCTAAGAGAAAAATGTGTGAGCTGGAGGCTAAAAAACCGTGAGCTGGCTCACACTAACTCAGCTTAGAGCAACCCTGTGACAGCTCCTCTTTGCAGCCCGGCGCAGTGTGCGTTCTGAGCAAACAGGAATTCCCCCGGAAGGCTTCCTTTCCAGATAAGCAGAGGATTGCAGCATTTCAGGGTTGGGGAGAGAGGGAGGTGAAACGCAAATAGGGCGGTGTTGGGAGTCCTCGGGGCAGGACTTCCCCTTGCTGGGGTTGCCGCGGTCCCCAGCCTGGGAAGTTGGTGGAGACTGGGGACAGAGCCTGCAAAAGGGAGAATTTGAGAAGGGAGTTCGCCTAGAATCAATGATATCCTATAAAGTCTGGCCTCGATACAGCAGCCATTTCCTGCAGGAGAATTGCCCTCTGTAGAAGGAGGCTGAAGTTGGTTCTTTATTCACTCTTCCTTATTCATGTAGTCATTCAGAAACACTAAGGAGAGTGAGTTGGAAAGCTCTGAACCCCAAAATACGGTCTGGACCACCACATCCATATACCCCCACATTCAAAAGACTCTCCCCTTCGAGAGCATGGGGATGTGTCGTTTGGGGTGGTCCAAATATTTGGGGGGGGTGCAGCCTGGCCCCAGTGTCTGCTTGTGTGATTGTCCTAGGGGCACTGCACTTTGAAGCAGTTGGCACCAGAACCGTGCTTTGGACCAGGATACAGCATATGTCCCCTCGAAGGGGAGAGTCCTGTGAATGTGGGGGTATATGATATGTTGTGGTCCAGACCTTATTTTGGGGTTCAGAGCTTTCCAACTCACTCTCCTTAGCGTTTCTGAATGACTACACGAATACGTAACAAATAAGGAATGAACAAGGAAGAGCGAATAAGGAACCAACTTCAGCCTCCTCTCTGTAGACTGGAGATCAGTTGTAATTCTAGGAGAACGCCAGGCCGCACCTGGAGGTTTTCAACCACCAAACAAGCCTGTGCACACAATTTTGTTGTTCAGTTGCACAGTCGAGTCCGACTCTTTGCGACCCCATGGACCAGATCATGCCAGGCACAATGCAAAACCAAATATATTAAGACTAGGAAAAAGGCCCGTTTTGGAAATAAATACAACGGCCTCTAGAAAGAGGCTCTGGGCGGGTGCCCCGGCCTTGGACACTCAGTGTCAATTTGCTGTGGCAACCTCAGCAGGGTGTAATGACATTGAGTCCACCATTTTCTCCAGAGAAACTGATCTCTGCTACCTAAAGAACAGTTGTAATTTTGAGGGATCTCCAGCAATGTTTCCTCTAAGCCGTGAAGTCTTGTGAGCAAAAGTTCTACTTTGTGAGCTCCTGGCATTCAGGTTGTGAGCGAGCGATTTGGCTGCTGCATGAATCAGTTTGCTCTGGAGCCATCCTTCCTGAGCCAAGACAAAAATGTGTGAGCCGGAGGCTAAAAAACTATGAGCTAGCTCACACTAACTCAGTTTAGAGGGAACCCTGATCTCCAGCCCTCACCTGGAGATTGGCAACGATGGTTCCCCAGAAGGGACTAGTTGGTTTGGAGGGTGGAGTCTACGGCTTTGTACCTGTCCGAGGTCCCACGCCTCCTGAAGCCTCACCCTCTCCAGGCTCCATCCCTCACATCTCCAGGAATTTCCCACCTGGAGTTGGCAACCCTATCTCCTTCCCAGCCAATCATCAACCTACCTTTATTTCCCCCTCACTCTTCAGCTTTCCACCCCCCCACACACCTGCAGCCTCTCCCGTGCTCTGAAGCCCTGACTGCCACGTCACATTGGCTGTCATATGGGGGCCACCCCAGCAGCTTATAAGGATACAAAGCCCACCATTTTCTCCAGGGGAACTGATCTCTGCCGTCTGGAAAGCAGTTGTAATTCTGAGTGATCTCCAGCGGAGATTGGACACATTTTACCTCAGAACAGCAAACTGTTTAGAATGTTAGAGGCAAAAGCCAATCAAGTCGCATATGCAAACGACCTCTGTGTTCCGAGGCAAAGGCCAATGAGGCTGCATATGCAAATAACCTCTGTGTTCTGACTGGCTGTGGAGGGGAGAGGAGCAGTAAACTGTTTAGAATGTTGGAGGCGAGACTCAAGCAATGCAGCCAGTGGATAGGGACAGATTCTGAGTGACACACCAGGGCGCCAACCAATTCTGGAGCGTGTGGAATGTTATAGAGAAGTGCCACCACCATTCGGCTTTTATTTATAAGGGAGATGTCATTGTCAGCGGTCACAGATTTTTGTATCGCATGAATGCACTATTGTTTTTTTTAATGAATGTACTAATAACTATAAAACCCAGAATTACACTCAGAATAAAGCTTTTGTTGGTCTTAAAGGTGCCATCGGACTCAGACTTCGTTCTGTTGCTTCGGACCTGCAGGCTGCCCACCTGAATCTAATAGCTATAAAAACATCCAAGGATTAAAACTTGGCTGCGCTTCTCATGAAAACTGTTAATTTAGAGGGAATGGTTGAGGTGAACTGGTGGATTCCTCCTAAACTTCATCATTACACCACTACTCCCCCCCCCAAAAGGAAGACTCTGCATACCCACGGGGTAGGCAACTCTGGCTTGGGAAATTCCTGGAGACTCGTAGATGGAGCCGGGGGAGGGAGTGGGGTTTAGAAGAAGAGATTGGATTTATACCTCAGAGAGCTCTGAGAGAAACTGCCCTTGAGGCAACAGCTCTGAGAGAACTTGTGACTGGCCCAAGGTCCCTCCAGCAGCTACATGTGGAGGAGTGGGAAATCAAACCCGGTTCTCCCAGATTAGAGTCCCTGCTCCTAACCACTACACTGTACTGGGTGTAGGAAAAGGATGGGCTGTGAGAGGGCAGAATGTCATAGAATTCACTCTATGAAGCAGCCGTTTTCGGCAGAAGAACCGATCTCTGTAGATTAAAAAAGATCTGAGTGTATAGGCGCAATAATCCTCTTAGTCAAGTTAAAAACATGGAATGTTGACAGATATACAAAAATATACATTATAGTCAGGGTCAATAATGGTTATTTTGAGTTGTCCCTAATTCAATGTTCCCTCTAAGGTATGGAGTCTTGTGAGCAAAAATTCTACTTTGTGAGCTACTAGCATTAAAGTTGTGAGCGAGCGATTTGGCTACTGCATCAATTAGTTTGCTCTGGAGCCCTCCTTCCTGAGCTAAGACAAAAATGTGTGAGCCGGAGGCTAAAAAACTGTGAGCTAGCTCACACTAACTCAGCTTAGAGGGAACACTGGTCCCTATACAATTTGATTCTTAACTGAGGCTATCACCAGGGCCAATAACTTTTTAAAAGATTTACTTTGTAATAAATACATGTTGTTTTGTATAAGAACATAAGAGAAGCCAATGTTGGATCAGGCCAGTGGCCCATCCAGTCCAACACTCTGTGTCACACAGTGGCCAGAAATACCAGTGCCATCAGGAGGTCCACCAGTGGGGCCAGGACATTAGAAGCCCTCCCACTGTTGACCCCCCCCCCCAGCACCAAGAAGACAGAGCATCACTTGCCCCAGACTGAGAGTTCCTATCTAGACCTTGTGGCTAACAGCCACTGATGGACCTCTGCTCCATATGCTTCTCCAGTACCCTCTTGAAGTCATAAGAACATAAGAACAGACGCCAATGTTGGATCAGGCCAAAGGCCCATCCAGTCCAACACTCTGTGTCACACAGTGGCCAGAAATACCAGTGCCATCAGGAGGTCCACCAGTGGGGCCAGGACATTAGAAGCCCTCCCACTGTTGACCCCCCCCCCCAGCACCAAGAAGACAGAGCATCACTTGCCCCAGAGCCCCTATCTATACCTTGTGGCTAATAGCCACTGATGGACCTCTGCTCCATATGCTTATCTAATTCCCTTTTGAAGCCATCCATGCTTGTAGCCGTCACCACTTCCTGTGGCAGTGAATTCCATGTGTTAACCACTCTTTGGGTGAAGGACTTCCTTTTATCCTTCCCTTCCTTTAAACAAATTCCTTCAAATCATAAGAAAATCCTAGGCCCCGGTCACATTCCCAAGTCCCTCAGCCTTTCCTTGTAGGGCTTGGTCTCCAGGCCCCTGATCATCCTCATCTGCACCTGCTCT